ACCTTTGAATAGCCCTGAGCTATACACTTAGATACAATTCTCTCTATGTATGTTATACTTCAAAAACAGATTTGCTTTTTAAAGCCCATAAGGAATACTATCAGCTAAGTTATGTAACAAAAAGTTCCATCGAATTTCTTTCATTTAATCTCTCCTGGGACAAACTAATGAAATCTAATGCCTTTATGTAGTGAGACGCATAGCTCAGAGACACTGACCACCTTTCCATCCTCTCTTTCCTCAATTTTTTCATCCCATGATCTTCATCCACATAATCCCATACCATCTCTTGCAACAAAAAGGAAAACAATTAAATGAAACTGTTTTTATTTGCTTTTCTTAACCCTACTTTAGCAAACATCACTAAGATATAATACACAATTACTCCACTCCCGTACAACCACCACTCTCAAAATAAAGAAACTATTGCAGCCAGTAGGTGGTGTGGTGGTTAAAGCACTGGACTCCCACAGAGCACACCATGGTTCGAGTCCTAGACCTGGCAGCTTGAAACTCATGCTGGGCATGTGTGAATGCATGCCCAAAATGCCAGGAAGAGAAAGGAAGAGATTGCAGCATGGCCATCTCCACTCAGGAGTGATTTCTCACTTTCCCTCTAGTCATCCCTCTGTCTCTCCAGAGAACTCATACACTCTAGGGCAAAAAAAAAAAAAAAGAAAGAAAGAAAAAAAGGAACAATATAATCACAACTTTGCAGCAGTTTCTTTTTCTTTTTTCTTTTTTTTTTTTTTTTGAGAGGTTTTTGCTATAGGGTGCGTGCGCTCGCCAGACAGCGAGAGACAGAGAGACAGAAAGCGAGAAATCACCCCCCAGGGGGGATGGCCACACCGCAATCCCTTCTCTTCCATTCTCCTCTTGGGATCTTGGGCACGCACGCACACGCGACTGGCGTGAGTTTAAGCTACCAGGTCTGAGACTCGAACTGTGGTTGACTACATGGGAGTCCAATGACATAGCCATTATGCCAACTGCTGGTCCCTGCAGCAGTTTCTTTTTCTAACAGCACCTTGAAAATAAAAAACAGAGGACCAAAGTATCTATGGTGGCCAGGGGCCATGAAGAATAACACACAAAATATACACATGGAAATACAAATGACATTTTTCACATGGTCCGTTAATATTTCTATACAATTAATTTCCATTAACTATTACTTGTTAACTAAACACTACTCAAGATTTCCTCAAAGAACACAGTCATATGTTTTGTGGCAGATAACATGCATGCTACAGTCATGTCATTTAGTATGGTCCTTATCCAATGTTCAAGACCTTTCTGACTTGGTATTACTCCCATTCTTCTCAGTTCCTGTTCTTCCAATTCTTGTCACTGTCTTCAACCATGTTTGGAAGCAGGAATACAGTTTTAAAACAATTTTTTTAAGTATGTAATATTTCTTTTATTATTCTCTAATTAGACTAAATAGCTATTAGGAAATAAAAGAAAGTCAATGCTACTGGCCAACAGAACTATCTTCTCTTGAAAATTCAATGCATGCGCCAGCAGGTAGCATGGTAGTTAAGGTGCTGGACTCCCACATGGCCAATCTTGGTCCAAGTCCTGGACCTGGCAACTTGAAAATCACACCAGGCATGTGTGTATGCATGCCCGATATCCCAGGAGGAGAATGGGAGAGACGGAATTGTAGAATGGCCATCCTCCTTGTGGGGGGAGGGGGGATTTCTCATTCTCCTTCTCTCTGTCGAGTATACAAAATTTACGGCAAAAATCTTTAAAAAAAAAAAAAAAAAGAAATTACAATGCACAATTTTCACACATGACACTATGGTACTGAAAATACTAAGTCACGGCAGCAAGGGCAAGGGAATCTGCTTTGCTCAGGTTCCAACTAGAAGAAATACATATGTAACTTTCTCTGATTTCATAAAAGAAAATGAGATCACAAAAGAGAACTACTGGAGCGGGCAGGTGGCGTGGTGGGTTGAGGCTTTGGACTCACACATGGCAGAGCATAGTTTAAGTCCTGGACCTGGCGGCTTGCTTTTTCACTTTCTCTCTCCCTCTCTCTCTCTCAAGCACATATGCCCTACAGCAAATTATAAAAAAGGAAAACAATAACAATAACAAAGAAGAAGAAATAAAATTAAATAAATAATTATTTTTTAAAAAAAAATAGAACTACTGATGCTACATCCACAGTATCTGAATGAGGCACACGGACTTCAAAATGGGACTTAGAAAATGAAGGAAAAAAGTGAAAGAAAAGAAAAAACATTCCTTTCCTGCTTTCTAGACCTGACTACTTTTTCCTGAGTAGACCACTGGTAACATGTGCAGGTTAGTTACCAGCATTACAACTTTCCTCTCTTGTTGCTTTGTATCCTTTGATTCTAAACACTTATACATACTTCACAACCTATTGGTGAAAGAGTCAAATAACACGAAATGCCTCCAATTTTAAAAGTCACATCTGAGGTCTGATTTGTAATATTCTCCTCTATGATGTCAATATGTACCACTGTGAAGTAACTTCAGATGAACAGTTTTTTCTTCTAAACTAGCAAAGAACCAACCAATGGCTTTATTTTATATTAAACCCATCATGTTAAAGAGAAGGTGGCCACTACATAGAAAAAACACAATACAGAATAACCCTACCTCAGAAACAATTCCTATGTTGTTAGTGAGAAAAGGAGTTAAGTTTTTTAAAACAGCAAGTCATTGTTTTCTGGGATCACCTACTACAAGGCAAGCATTATTTTATTGGATCATTGGAAAAGTCATGGTGTATGTGGTGTATTTTTCTATGCAAAAACACACCATGACTGGGACCAGCAGTTAGCATAATGGCTATGTTGCTGGACTCCCACATAGTCAACCACAGTTCGAGTCCCGGACCCGGTGGCTTAAACTCACGCCGGGCGCGTGTGTGTGCGTGCCCAAGATCCTGAGAGGAGAATGGAGGAGAAGGGAGTGCGGCGTGGCCACTCCCCCAGGGAGTGATTTCTCGCTTTCTGTCTCTCTCTCTCTCTGTCTGGCAAGTGCACATGCCCTATAGCAAAAACCTCTCAAAAAATAAAAAACAAAAAACAAAAAACAAAAAAACACACCATGACTTTTCTGATGGCCCAATAATATAAATATTCCAAGATATACCAATAAAGTTGGTGAACAAAAACAAATTCTTTATTCTCTCACAGAGTCTCCTATACATGAAGGAATAAAAAATGTGTAGGAAAGGAAATCTAAGAATACCACAAGAACTGGAAAAAAAAGAAAAGAAAAAAAATATGGGGCTGGACACAACACTGTAAAGCTGACATGAAAGGTTCCAAGTTCACATCAGGAGACTTGCCTGAGTATGCCGGGTATGCACTTGTTCATGAACCAAGGCTAAACTAGGGCATCAAGAGCCTATTGGGGGTGCCTTGTTTTCTCTCCTTTTCTAGCTCATGGAGGAAATAAATAAATATTTTATAAAGTGAAGTTAAAATTAGGAAAGGATGACTGCATCTGTTTTAATAAAAAGAACCCAAACATGTTCACTCACACTTAACAGTTTCCCAGGCAATTTCTCTGAACCCACCTGGAAAATGACAAGCATTAATAGGTGCCACTAGATTGCTCAGCGAGGTGGCAGCTATAAAACCACTTTTCTCAACTCATAGGCAACAAGTGCCCAGATTTCCTGAGAACAGACTTTCAGCTGTCAAAAATCACTTCTGAGAAGGAGAAAAAAAAAAAAAAAAAACTGCTTGGACTTGAATAAAAGACATATCCATTTTTTTCAAGTGGACCAAAGGGACCTGGTGCCTTGAAATGAAATAAAACTAACACACTCCCATTCAATATTCCCACTCACAATTGCATTTCTTCCTATAGGTTTTTCTTTTGCCACTCACCCTCTCTGGCTGCTAGGCACTTGTCTATCACCATATAGCTAGCTGTCCCTCCTCATTTTGCTTAGCAAAATCTTATCTTTCTCTCAGAATGTATTTTCCAAAAGGCTTTGTTTAGCTGTTATTTTACTGACCTTATAAACTCATTAGTGAACTCAAGTAAACACTCCTAACAGAAAGTAAAATGGTCAGTTTAACAAATTTCAGAATAAACTTTCCTCTCTCAAAACTCTGAAATTACCTTTAGTTATATCTATTAGAGAAAGAAGGCAAACTAAACTAAATTCTACAGACACTTTTGAGTCAATTCTCCATAATTTCTAAGATGATTTCTTTAAAAAAGATTGTTCTCTTTAGCTCTTACTATGCAAATAAAAGTTCTGTCTATTCTAGTCCTACCCATAAATAATTTTTGTATTATACCTATAGAACAAATTATTTTTTTATTATAGCTACAGAATCTAGCTCATGATAAATCGTCTATACATAAAAGGTAGGTATTATTACCCCTTATCAATTAAAGATCTGGAAACAAACACCCCAAGGTGTTTTCTTTCTAAAAAAGAATAAACCTAAGTAAATCTTTGTTAAGAGAAGCTAATCATCATGCAGATTTATAAGTTTACATTTTAGAGCAGGGCTGTGAAGTCAACACTTTCAAGTGACCCATAAACTCCTCTTCTCAGAGAAACATTCCTCCCTATACCTACACAACATGGTGCCCTGTCAGTCATATTTCTGCACTATGATAAGGTGCCTGCATCCCAGGCATTTGACTAAAGGTAGATACCTGACTCAAGTTTAGTCAATCAATTGGCTTCCTGAAACTGGAATTGAAATACAGAATACTGGTCAGTCTACATAATTGAGGGCCCCATACATTGGTGAATTCTGTCTTCATAATCTATGTTCACTAAAACACCATGGTTAAACTTATGACTTGACTGAGATCATAGCTGTACCAGGGATAGCAACCAGTGCCAAAGCCTCCGGAAATCACTGCCAAAACTGAAAAGAAAACTGAAAACTCCCAGTACCTCCCTTAGCTAGTACAACCCCTATGCTAGTCAAAAGGATAGAATCAAATTACCATAAGCGACAGAAAAAGGCTGCACATACCTGTACTATGTCCCAGTTCATTTCTACCTCCTCTTTAATACTGTCGGCATTTGCTGGAAATTTGACAGGCTGCCCCTGAGGACATATTTCAGTTTTCATTTTCTTTAAAGGAGATTGACTGAATGTAAAGTCATCTTCGTTTTCTTCCTTCTTGCATGCACCTTCCCATACGGTGCTTGTGGATGGTGTCTCTGTGCTGTTACTTCCAGTATCTAAGTTGCCGGCTTTGCTGGTTTCTTCATCACATTTCCGCTTTTTGGTCCTTGGGACTAAATTTTTCCGTTTTGTCTTCACTGTTTTCTGAGTCTGTACAATTTGCTTTCTGTCTTCCAAATTAGCATCAGCAATAGCCACAGAGTTATTCTATCAAAACACACGCAAAAAAAGTGAGAATTAGAAGGTACAAATCAGCTTCCCTGGGATATTAGAAATAAAAAGGAACAAACTATCGATACAATAACTTTGAAGAATATCAAGGAAATTATGTCACAGGTGGAAAAAAGTCAATCTCAAAGTTACATACTATATGATTATATTTATAGAACATTCCTACACAGATCAGTTGTTGCTATGGGTCAGTGTGGGGGTGCTGGGTAAAAGGATGAGAGGGAGGTGGGGATGGCTATAAAAGGGCAATACCGGAGAACTCTGTGGCGATAAAACTGTTCTGTAGCAGTGCATAGAAACCTACACATGTAATAAACTGCACAGAACAAAAGATCTGCCCCCAATACACACATACACACAAGTGAATGCAGGTAAAACTAGAGAAATCAAAGTGAGATCAGTGGATCTTATCAATGTCAAATCCTGGCTGTGTTATTTTACTACGGTTTTGTAAGGGAGAAACTGGATAAAAAATACATGGAATCCCGCTATATTACTTCTTACATTTGCATAAAATCATTTAAAAATGAAAGTTTAATTTTTAAAAATGAGTAAAGATAGGACTACATATAATAAAAAACAAGATTAAAACTTGCAATCTAAGTCAACCATTCATGTGGAGAAGAGTAACACTCATAAACTCATTATACTCGACAGGCTCCACCTACCCCCAAGTTACACAGAAGGGAAGACAACAGAAAACACAGGATGATGGAATAATATCACTTGAATAGGAAGTCACATGTTAGTGTGAAGTATCCAGGAACTATTCCCCGCACCACTATTGCCACTCCATCCGAGTGACAGCTCTGGTGTGAAGCAATAAGACCTGTACTCACCGGGACCAGCAGTTAGCATAATGGCTGTGTCGTTGGACTCCCATGTAGTTGACCGTGGTTCGCATCCCGGACCCAGTGGCTTAAAACTCATGCCGGGCACGTGTGCGTGCGTGCCTAAGATCCCGAGAGGAGAATGGAAGAGAAGGGATTGTGGCATGGCCATCCCCCCTGGGGGGTGATTTCTCACTTTCTGTCTCTTTATCTCTGTCTGTCTGGTGAGTGCACGCACCCTATGGCAAAAACCTCTCCAAAAAAAGAAAAAAAAAGACCTGTACTCACCTTAGCACTGGGGAGAGAGTGGTAAATAAGATAAAGACTCTGTGTCCTTAAAGAACTTATCCCACCCAGACTGTTATCACTTACCTAAGTGACACAGATGGCACAAACACTTATAACTCTCAAACTAAATTACAAAATTTAGTCATCAGAATTATTGACTATTCAAAGTATTGGGAGCCAGTCCATGCCCTGGTGGGTTAAGGCAGTTGGATCCCACAAGGTCGATCATGTGGTTTGAGTTCCAAAGCCAGAGGCTTCAAAGACACACTGGGTGCGTGTGCACGCATGCCCAAAATCCCATAGAGAGGGAGAACTGAAAGAGAAGGGATTGCAGCATGACCATGTTCCATAAGAGGTGCTTTCTCACTTTCTCTCTTTTCTCTTTCCAGAGTACATTTACATCTTCTGGCAAATAAAATATAAATCAATGTGTATGTGTGTGTGTGTGTAGTTGTCAGAAAAGTCATGATGCAATTTTGCACAGAAAACTATGTCGTCACTTTTCTAATGACCAAATATATTGGTAACTACACTAACGAGCACCCCCACCCCAATGCCTGTCTACCACTTCCACCATCTGAACTTGAAAATTATGTACATTAGATAGTATTGTATTAAATATTTTGCTTAAAACATAATGGATCAGAGCAGAGCTATGAAGAGGAAATGACTCCCAAGTCTGTAAGAGTTGGCAATAACCTAATCGAATTCATAGGCATAACTAAAGAATGTGTCAGTCATAGAGGCAATTATCAGCCACAAAAGAAAAGAAAAACTATAAGAAGTATATATGATTAACCTCCTTCTAAGTAATACACAAAAGAAAGAGAAGTTTAGCAAACAGATAAGGAGTATGTTGGTCCCATAGTAAAATAGCCCTGCAGTGAGATGAGTAATTCATATTAGTTAGCTTCTGCAAAGGTAATTAAAATATCCAACTGTCACTGTGACAGGCACTTGCCTAGACCACAGTGGTCATTCACTAAACTCAAATGAATCAACTGATTTCTACTGAGCCCATGTTCATCAAGCAAACTTCTGATTATCATTTGTTTTCCTACTTAATAACAGCCTTCTACAGAGAAAATGTGCTGACCATAAAAATTTCCAGTCTTTGTGATGATTATTTCAAACTATTAATTATTAAACCAGCATTCTGGTTGTATAAATCACTCTTGTGAGCTCAGCTGATGTAAAAACACCCATGAGAAATATATCAGTTCCTGAAATGCTGACAAAATCATGTTCCTGACTTAGAAACCCAATTCCATCACTTACTATCTATGTACCACGAGCAAGTCTCTTAATATCTCTTGCCTCAACTTTCTAACCTATAAAATCAGGATAATAATAGCATCTACTTCAATGGTTGTGGGGATCACGTAAGATTATACAAGTGAAATATTGAGCACACTGCCTGGCTAATGGTAAGCACTCAAATATTTGCTACTGTTACTGCTACTATAGCTAGACCACCTCCTAAAGAAAGGAAATGGCAGTAGACAAAAAGTACAGTGGATCTGATGAAAAATATTATTAAGACCCAGGATACCACTGCCCAGGAGTTTTCATCATTTACATGCTTTGTCCTATTCTGTATAAGAAGAAAATAACACTACCACTCAGGAAAAACACTACGACAGTTTTCCTTCTACCTAGCTACAGCACCTACCAGCTCCTCCTTAACAGTCACACTTTGTGAATCATCACTGATCTGTGGGGTACTCTTCTTCATTCGAGGTACCCTCTTTGGTTTGGATTCCTTGGGAGCAGACTGCTTACGGCTTCTGGGGACTTTCCTTTGGGGCTCCCAGACACTATCTTCCTTGTCATCTTCTTCAGAAGCAGATGATCTAGAAGCAAATTGACAGATGAATTTCCAAAAAAAAATATAAACAACTGTCAGAGGTTTAAAAAAAAAAAAAAAGATAAATACTTCTTGAAGAAAATGATAAAGTAGGAAGTGTTTATTGTAAAATGGAGTTATATGAGTACTGACTATGAACATTTGTTAAGGAATGGAACAACTAATTTAATCACAGGCCAATGTAAGAAAATCCCCTGACATGCTGTAAATCACAGGTATAAACCACAGGTCTGTCTATTCTCCTTTCATCTGACAAACACAACACCCATACATTTAAGACTTAAGAAATCATTTATTATTTCAAGTGATTTAAGGGTAGTGTACCCCTGAGCTTTTAACAGTGCAAAGCACTTGAATAGGCACTTAAATAAGTGCTAATCAAATTCATTTAAATTGTATTAAGTTATTCAAATCAATGAAAAGAATGGGAAATGGCTCTACAAAACACCCTAAGTTACTGAAAAAGCCTGAACCAAAACCTTTTCAACAAGTTTAATTAACCCTTTTTCCTTTTCACAGAATAGATTTGTTTCCTGATTAGACTGGATCACTTATAGCTATAGTACTTTTCTATCAACCAAGAATCCAACTCACAGCAAGAGCAGAGAAACAGCAGTCATGTGAACTCTGTGAAGGGAATATTGTCCCCGCCAACCTAGTTAATTCTATTTCTGGAGTAACATAAGATGTTAATATTGGTAGGAAGGCTAATCACTTCTTTCACTGAGACCAGCGAGTAGGGATGTCTGGGTTTTTGAGTGATTCATATTTGCCTGAGGTCAAAAACCTGATTGGATTATTTCTAAGTTATGCTCCAAGGGAATAAGCAAACACAAACAATTCATTAGAATAAGACAGAGTGATTCCACAATAGCAGCGGAATTGAAAGGGTGTGGAATTAGAAAACCAGGGTTCCACTCCTCACACTATCACTAAATAGCACAGCATGACTTCTTTCCAAGTTGTCTCTCCTGTCAGACTGGAATATGCTTAACCTTCTTTCACACAAGAATATTATCCAGGTTAAAGGACTTTTGGTTATTATGAAGAAAAAAAAAAAAAAGGCACCACTGGTTATACATAAAGCAGTTCTAAAGTAGCTAGACAACTCTTATTCCCAATTCTCTCTCATGCACACATGTCCTCTCAGAAGCAGCTGGCACTCAACCCTTACTGTACCCTTTTACATGCCTTCCAAGAATCCCATTGCCCTGGTTTTCCTCTTCCTTGCAGCTTCTCCTTAGGCCCTTTGGCCACCCTGGCTTAACCTCTAAGTGTTAGAATCCCCAAATTATGAGTCTTAAGCCTTCTCCTCTCTTCTCTATGATCTCTTACTAACTGGTCTTATAGCTCAACAGAGTAATCTCAATTTTATATCTCCAATTTGGCCTTTTCTTACAAGCGTAAGACTTCTATATCCAGTTTCACTTGGATAGCTAGTGAGCACCTTAAATTTACCGAGTCCAAAATAGAACTCCTGCTTCCACCATCATTACATCTGTTCCTCTTCTAGTCTTCCCCAAAAACCTGCCTTTTCTTCACACCCCAGAGAGCTAATCCATCAGCATTTCCTGTTCACTACCTTCAAAATACCTCCCAAATCAGACCATTGCTCAACAATTTCACTTCTAGTACCCTAGGCTTCTAAAATAATTTCCTAAAGTTCACTCCCCTGCTTCCGTTCTTGGCCCACTATAGTTTGTTCTCCACCAATCAATCAGACTAAATATAGAAATATAAACAAGATCATTTCACATCCCTACCCAAAACCCCCCAGGGGCTTCCCATTCCACTTCAAATAAAATCCCAATACTCTATCACAGTCTAGTAGAGCCTACTCATTCCAATCTTATTTAACATTCTCCGCCCTGACAGCACTAAACTGGCCACAATGGTCTTCCTGCTGCTCCCTGAACATACTCATTTCTGTCTTGAGGCCTCTGCACTTGCTCTCCCTACCTGGAATAACTAACCCCAAGATCCTCCAAAAGAACTTCCTACTTTATCCAAAATGTCCCCTCACTACAATCAATCCCCATTCTCTGTGTCCCTTGTTCTGCTTTTATTTTCTATACTTTTATAAATACACTTCAGAAAGTTTGTGCCAGGGTGGCCCCAAAGCACAATGGTTAAGTTCCATGGATAGGGAACCAGATATAATATGGCTGACCATGATTCAAATCCTAGTCCCAGAGGCTTGATAAAAACAGCAGGCATATGATTTATGAAGTTAATGAGTGGCAAAATGTATTACTATGTAAAGCATTCATCATTCCCACACGTCCATATTAAACCAATATGCTTACAATTCAGAAAAGGAAGAAAATTCATCTTTGGATATTGCAGTCTGGACCTGTACTCTTGCTCTTCTTGGCAATGATGACATCTGGAAGAAATTGAACATGAAATCAGCATAAGCTGAACAGTCTGATTACTTTATCTGGCTACAAAAATATATACTTTCAAATCTAAATTTCTGAGAGCTCTGCTGCTAGAAAATGCCAAAGCAGGGGAAACATTAAGATGATTCATAAGCTCAAATACTAGTTTCCCCGACTATGTGGCTGCTAATTAAAAGAGCAGTGAACAGTCTTCCAATAATTTCAAAAGCCTGGAGTGTAGCTCGCCTTCTGAAAAATATAAGTTCCTAAGGACCAGCAGTTGGCATAGCAGCTATATCGCTGGACTCCCACGTAGTTGACCGTGGTTTGAGTCCTGGACCTGGTGGCTTAAACTCATGCCAGGTGCATGTGCATGCATGCCCAAAATCCCGAGAGGGGAATGGACGAGAAAGGATTGCAGCGTGGCCATCCCCTCGGGGGGTGATTTCTCGCTTTCTGTCTTTCTGGCGAGCACACATGCCCTTTAACAAAAAAACCTCTCCAAAAAAAATAAATAAATAACTTCATAGGGTGATAATTTTGAGCTTTTTAGGAATTACATGCTTTAGTATTCTGCAGTGTTATCTGTTGGTGTTATTATCACACAGCAAATTATGAAGTTCTTTATTAAACTCAAAGACCAGGAATATTTTTATCTCTTCTTTATGTTCTTACAGTATAGAGATCACTCTACAAAGTTAATGTCGAATAAATGAAGCTTATTGACTGAATAAATTATTCCTAAAACAAGATAATCATCCCCTTATAATGACAGTGCATAATACTTAAGTAAAATGATTGACCACTATGTCACTGAAAATAGCTTACCAAATACAAAGGTTGAAGTCTTAAAAAAAAAAGTTAAGGGGGCCAGCAGGTGCTGTGGTGGTTAAGGTACTGGACTTCCACATGACTGACCAGTTCAAGGCCTGGACCTTGTGGCTGGAAAATCATGCCAGTCATGTGTGTGTGCATGCCCAAAAATCCCTAGAGGAGACTGGAGGAGAAGGGACTGGAGCATAGCCATCCCTCCAGTAAGTGATTTCTCACCTTGCTTCTCTCTCTCTGTTGAGTACCCTAAAACAAAAACCTTTTTTAAAAAAGCTAAAACAAAGAGCTAAACATATCATGTAATACAAGAGGTAAATAAATCTACTTTCACTGTCAATATTAACCAAACTCACATTCATTTCCAAGGTTTTAAATACCTAGTATTCCCAAAAGAATGTGTATCAAAACCCTTAGATCCTGACATGTTTAGAATCCTTTAATCAAGTTCCTAAATCAATAGTACATTATAATGCCTCTACTTCTAAAAAGCACTCAGAGGAGGAAGTAATGCTTCATAGAAATAAGGATGTGGCTGTCATAGCAGGGAACATTTCCTCTAGCAGCCATAGTTCAACTCAGTCCAGGAAGTGCAGAATTATTGGGCAGAACAGCACCCAAAGGAAACCAGGAGAACTAAAGGAAATCAGTGTCCAGGAAGTAGACAGGATAATCTTCCATCTTTACTTTCACTCACTTTTTGGGATTTTGAGGTTATGCGGATCATCATTTCCTAAACAAGTACTCCTAGATACTGATCATGAGGGAAGAGGTGATTTCTGTATTATGTATATTTTACCACAATAAAACAAAAACAGAGGCATTTACTGTGTGATGAGGTGGCATTTCAAACCAGGGAAGGGCTAAAAAGGGTTATTCAACAAATGGTATTGAGACAAGCAGCAATTCCTCTGGAAGAAAACAAGTGTTTTATTTTTTCCTTTTTTTTTTTTGGAGAGGTTTTTGGTATAGGGTGCATGCCTCACCAGAAAGACAGAGAGAGATAGAGAGAGAGACAGACAGAGACAGAAAGGAAGAAATTACCCCCCAGGGGAGATGGTCACATCACAATCCCTTCTCCTCCATTCTCCTGTCTGGCGAGCACACACGCCCTATAGCAAAAACCTCTCAAAAAAAAAAAAAAAATCTTAAATTTCTAGAGTCTTGAGTGGTTTTTAATCACCAACACTTCTTACCCAGCCTACTGCAGGAGCCTCTTAACTGCCTTCCCTTTTTCCATTCTTGTCCCTTCAACCTATTCTCCATATATTCATGAAAGAGTTCATTTTTAAAATGCTTTAAAAATATTCAATAACTTCCCACTCCAACCTTCCTGAGAATCAAACTATATATATATACATATATATATATATATACACGTATATATATATATATATACATATGGTACATCTTATTCCCAGTGGCAATGATACTATGGTCTTCCAAGATGACCTTTCTAACATTCACTATGTGCTAGCTCCTCAGCTCCAATCACATCCTTCCAGTCCCTGGAACAAAGATGATTCTTTCTCACCTCAGTTCACGTTGTCTGAAGCCTATTTTCTGTCAATTGATTGCCTTCTCTCATCCCTTACATCTCAACATTTAAAGCCTATACTGGGTTTCTCAGTTATGTTACATCTTAAAAAGCCTATTTACTTCCCTTGTGCAGTGATATATAGCATAATCTGTAGTTACCCTTCTGTTTAACTTGTTTATTTTCTAAAGGCCTTCCCCTCTCTCCCCCCCAAAAAAAGATTGAAAGAAACATATAAGAGAGAGAGTCTGGCACTTACCAGCAACTATTTATTAAAGGAACATAATATATATACAAGTATGGTCTCTAAAGAGGAATATATTTTATTTTTCATCACTGTTAGTCAATGCCATACACAGCACTTACTGCCTTTTTTCTTTAAGTGATGGCACGTAAGAATATTCCTGTTTAATGACAAGATTTTTCCTCCTTCCACACTACCTATCTGGGCACATGAGCATACTCCAAATTAACCTGTTCCATGAATAGGTTGTGAAGTTACTAAGGGAGAAGGCACTAAACTAGGGCAAGTGGAAATTGGGAGTGAAAGGTCTGCGTACACAAACACATCACGTTAAAATTGAAAAACAACAATTTAAGATTTCAAAACGGCAGAATGGTACAATTTCTTAAGGCACAATAAAATAAGTTTCCCAAAGGGACCAACAAGTGTTTGGAATGTTAACACAGATGATAGCCATTAAAACAAAATAGCAGAGCCCAAAAGAGCCTCTGAGATCAGATGGATTCAAGTAAGGATATTTTTTTTTAACTTTATTTATTTATTTAAATTTGACCAGAGAGGGACAGAGTGAGAGCGAGAAGGAAAGTGAAAAAGCAAGCCACCACGTCCGGGACTCGAACCACGGTGGGCCACGTAGGAGTCCAGTGCCCTTAACCACCATGCCACCTGCCTGCGCAGGATATTCTTTAATGAATGAGAAGTCCCAGATCGAATGAAGTGAAACGGTTTACTAAAGAGAAGAAAAATATGGCAAAGCACTAGAAGATAGAGCTGCAAAACCAGAGCTGGCCTTGTTTACCATCCCACACATTACATTAGTGGTATGCTGGCATATGTGAGATTACGGGAAAAGCTGCTTTCAGGGTTCCCACTCATTCCTTTCCTCAAGAGTTACAAAGTGGCTCCTGTTTGCCAGGCACACCGCTAAAGATGCAGTTGACTCCAACAGGGCCATGATCTGATAGTAAAAAGGGTGCTTCCTCCCGCACTTCCGATAACTTGAGGTATAAAAGAAGTCTCGGTTTGCCCAGGCTTTCCTCATCTGCTCCTAAGCGATAAGAGCTGTGCAACCTGAGAAAACGCCCTGGGTGACAAGCGGCAGTAGGGAGGAATTTTCCGGGTACAGGTTGTGAAATACACACAGAAGACAGTAAAATGAAATGATACATCTCACTTCAAAAACAGGGGTGCTATTTCCCCGAATGAGAGTTCAGAACTTTTTAAATGGCTCCAAAAACTACTGGAGCCCGAGAGACAGGCTCGCGCGAGCCCGCAGGACGACCGCTAAGGCGGACACACAGCTCACCTTCCCGCCAGGCGTGTCGGAAGACCAAGGATTCTGAGTATATGACGGCACCTTCCGGTTCCCGCCGGAAGTTTTTCAAACGCCGGAAGTCCCGCCTCATTTCTCCCAGACAGCGGTAGCCAAGGCACTCACAAACGGAGGGGGCGGGTCAGGCAGGATGGAGGCGGAGCTAGATAATCCAGCCGGAGCGCTAGAGTGGGACCTGCAGCCGGGGTGGGGGTGAGCTGGCCTCCTTTTCCCGGAATCCTCGTGTAAATGGAGTTGGAGGTGTGGAGAACTGCCTGTTTTTCTGTCTCTTCATTCTCTTGATCTGCTTTACCCTTTTTTCACCTCTACTTTTTAAAAGTCAATCAAGATTGTTTCTTTTCATTCTATTGTTTATTTGCAGTGGGAAAACAAAAAAACAAACTTTATGCACACACAAACATACCATCATTTTCTAAGCCCTGAAAGAAGGATTTTGATCCAATCTTGTGGCAATATCCAAATTTTGCCGCCTCTGATAGGGCCTTACTCAACACATTTTGAGATCTGCCTTAATGGAAGACATACTCCCTGTAGTCTTCACTATCTTTGGTCTGTCAAGCAGCTTGGTATACCACGCAAGACACCTGGTATTCTCAGAAACTTCCTAGCAGAATGGTGCACTTGGCTTTGTGTATCTGGAATGTTTCCACTGCTTCCCTCTCCATCCCACCCCTTATTAGGAGTAAACACTCGTGTAAATACTCGTTGAATTAATTCCCTTGAGACAAACACAGATCTCAGTTCATTACCTGCATAAAACTTGAACAATATGAAGCCATAATGATTTAAAACAAACTAAAAAGAGTCAGGGAACCACTTAGAAAAGAATTTCTTACAGTCTTCACCAGAGATAGAATGTAAATCTTGGCTACTTTATCCTTTGGTGCCAGGCTTCTAATGAATGCAACTAGAGATGAGATTAAGATCATAGAAAGCATAAATAATAAATGAAATAATCTATCTATTGCATGGTCCACTGTTACACTTGCCTGGCAAAATCACTTGCTAAGATGTACTTGGTTGTTGCATTGGTGAACAGACACATTGCACAATTTTCTCCTGGTGAATTTCTCATCTGTAGTATCCAGGGACTGCCTGAAAGGCCTGAAATAGCTATTAAACAGCGTAAGATCCAAGTAGGGAAACCTTAAAGAACTCATTAAGATCTTAATGATGGCCAGGCTGGTTGGGTTGCAAGAAGAGAAAGATGGCAGCATAGTGGGGCCAGATTTACTTTAGTCTAATCTAGACTAACCTCAGGAGCCAAATTCTCATATAGAGAGCCATGTCCAAGGCCCTATACATCAGAACTAGATTTTACATTCGGTGGCTTTGGCCCATTTTCCAGCTTAAGAAACTGAAACTATCCTGTAAGGTACTTTCTTGAAACACTCTGCCTACAGTCATTAGTACTATCACCCTCACTAACTAGAGTTCAAATTCAGAGAAGCATTGTGTGTCAGATTAGCCTATGTCCAAATGTTAGTGTATATTTTTAAAATCAGATTTATTAAGATATAATTTACATAAAGTAAAAACTCATTGTTTTAACTCTGACATATGGAGTGTAACTGCCACCACTATCAAAATACAGGATATTTTCATTACTCTCCTCCAAAACACACTGTTCTATAATCAATTTCTACCCCTCCCCAACCCTTGCAACCACTGATCTATATTCTCTGTCCCATTTTTTTCCACAATGTCATATAAAAAGAATCATTTGAGTTTGGCTTCTTTTACTTAGTATAGCATATTTGAGATCAATCCATGCCACTGTATATAATAATAGTTTGTCTCTTTTTATTTTTGGTTAGTATTCCATTGTGTGAATATACCACAATTTGTTGGTTCATTTATCAGTCAATCGATGGGCAATTAACTTATATCTACTTTTTGACAATTATGAATAATGCTGTTATGAATATCCACATACAAGTTTTTATGTGAACACATTTTCGTTTGTTTGGAGTAAATAAATACCTACAAAACAGGATTGCTAAGTCATATGGTAAGAATTTATTTAATTTTATGAAAAACTATCAAATTATTTTCTAAAGTTATCTTACCATTTTCCATTCTTATCATCAATGCATGAAAATTTCAATGTGCTTTCTCAATTTCTCTCTCTCTCTCTTTCTCTCTCTCCCTTTCTCTCTGGAAAGCACTTGCACCTTCTGGCAAATTAAAATCCTTTGAGGCAGATAGGTAATATATGTATTGCCTTTTTTTTTTTTTTTGGAGAGGTTTTCGCTATAGGGCGCGTGTGCTCGCCAGACAGACAGACAGAGAGAGACAGAGAGACAGAAAGCGAGAAATCACCCCCCAGGTGGGATGGCCACGCCACAATCCCTTCTCCTCCATTCCCCTCTCCGGATCTTGGGGACGCACGCACATGTGCCCAGCATGAGTTTAAGCCATCAGGTCCAGGACTCAAACAGTGGTCGACTACATGGGAATCCAGCAACATAGCCTCAAATCCTGACAAGTTTGAAGGCTGGGAAAAGGGGGTTGCAGTGACATGACTAGACCCTATTGGGGGTACATCTCTTTCTCTTTATCTCTCTCTCACGGAAAAACTTTTTTTTCTTAAAGGAGGATTCTTGGTTGAATTTAGCAGGTGTCAACATAGGTAGAACCAGGGAGTAAATGTCTGAAAAGTAGAAGAGGTCACATAACTTAGGTCACCAGATAAATATCTCTCTTTTTTAAGAGAGACTTTTGCTATAGAGCGTGTGCACTCACTGGAGAGAGAGAGGCGGGGGGAGGAAGCGAGAAATCACTCCCCAGGGGGGATGGCCATGCTGCAATCCCTTCTCCTCCATTCTCCTCTCGGGAGTTTGGGCATGCATGCACACGTGTCTAGTGTGAGTTTTAAGCTGCCAGGTCTGGAATTCAAACTGCAGTCAACTACATCTACGCTCCCATCTTGTGACTTTTTAAAAAGTGCTTGAAGTAGTAAGCTTATGTTAGTAGAATTATGTATTTTAAAAATATAACTAATTCCAAGTGTTGAGAAGCTATTAGGATGTCAGGAAAGTCATGAGATAGTTTCTGTTTTTTCTATGCAAAAGTGCATCGTGACTTTCCTGAACCCAATAATTTGTTCAAAGAAATGAGCTACCCAGTTGCTCTTTATTTTTAGCTCTGGTGTATTTCTTCCACCCATTCCATCTTCTTCTCCCACTTTTCCAGTCACCAGAGACTATTTCATTTCTTTTATCTTTACCAGGGGTTTGGCAGGGGAAAGTCAAGTATATTAAATATGCTACTTGTTAGGTCCTTTGTGAGAAGACAATTGAGATTATGTTTATTTTTAAATATTTAAGTGAGATTTCCAGCTATGGTGGAGTCAGAAAGTTAGTAAATCCTCTTTCCACTCTCTATCCAAAAAACTGAAACTAGAAAAAATTTGTCAAAAAGAACCATTTCAAGGCTCTTCAATGTGTATTGCAAATATGTTTCCTCAGTTTATCATTTGTCTCTTAATTTTGCTCATAGTGATTTTTCCATTAGAATTTTTTCATGTTTATATGGTTGATCTCTGGGATTTATCTCATACTTGTAAAGGACTTTCTCATTCTGAAAGAAAAGCTCTTAGTCACTGAAACATCAATTTACACTAGTCATTATTGTTCATTAATTTTCTTAGTCTTAGTTTTGGCTTCTTAATGAGATTTGTAAGGCAATGTAAAGTCGTAGTGGGACATTAAGATAATATTCTAGTTACTTGCTAAGACGGAAAAGAAAAACTTAATTTCATTAGCAGTATATTTAAAAAGATCACTTACTCCTGTGACAAGTTCTCATTTTGATGTGACTAGATATCACCCAGAAAGCTTGTTTAAAATTCTAATTACCCAGGGCCAGCCCTGCTCCCTGGTGGCTAAAAGAGCTGGATCCCACACAGCTGTCCATGTTTTGAGTCCTGCTCTGGCCCTGACAGCTTGAAAAACATGTGGGTGTGTGTGTATATGTGTCCAACATCCCGACAGGATGGAGGAATGAAAGAGAAGGCACACACATTCAACCTGTTTTAGGGATTGCATTATGACCACATTCATTGAGGGGTGCTTTCTGTCTCTCTCTCTCTCTGTTTCTCTCTTTGTCTGGCAAAGGCATGTACACTGTGGCAAATGGGAAAAAAATTAAATTCTGATTCCTCAGCCTGACTTCTAGAGATAGAATGGAGTAGGGTCTAAGAATATGCCTTTATTTTTGCTTATTTGTTTCTTTTTTTAATTTACCAGAGAGCCTGTATGCTCATAAGAGAGAGAAAGAGAGAGAGACATCCCCCCACACACACACCCATGAGCATGGCTGCACAGCAATCCCTTCTCTGCTTCTCTACCCTGTCAAGATTCTGGGCCCACATGCACATGCTCCCAGCTTGTTCCTCAAGGACTTAAAACACACCATCAGCCATGCCGGATCTAGGCTGTCCCAAATACCAGGTCACAAAGCTAGCCTAGGAATCTGCCTTTTTAACATTTTTTTCTTTTATTAGAGAGAGGTTTTTGCTACAGGACTTGTGTGCTCCCCAGAGAGACAGAGAAAAACAGAGAGAAAGCAAGAAATCACCTCCCAGGGGGAATGGCCATGCCACAGTCCTTTCTCCTCTATTCTCCTCTCAGGATCTTGGGCACACATACATGCCTAGCATGAATTTTAAGCCACTGGGTCCAGGACTGGAACTGCAGTTGACTACATGAGAGTCCAGTGATGTTACTAACCATTACAGCATCTGCTAGTTCCAGAAATCTGTCTTTTTAATCAAGGTCCAGATAATTGTAATATGGATTGTCTACCAGTCATTTTTCTTTTTCTTTTCTTTTCTTTTTTTTTTTTGGTTACTTTTTTTTGGAGAGGTTTTTGCTATAGGGCGCATGCGCTCGCCAGACAGACAGAGAGAGACAGAGAGACAGAAAGCGAGAAATCACCTCCCAGGGGCAATGGCCATGCCGTAATCCCTTCTCCTCCATTCTCCTCTCGGGATCTTGGGCACACACGC